ATTTAGGAATCAAATACTCATGAAAATTGTTGGAGGGTATACTAGTAGTATATGGATGCTATGAAAAATATGAAATCTGTTGCTCGACACTTTTCAATAGGGTTTTCTAATTATGCTATTTCAAGCATTGCTGCCTTGTTATTTTTGTATAGGATGTTCTACTTGGAAAAATGGCATGAAATTTTTACAGTAGTCTATTGGTAGTACTAGTAAGCCACTGTAATTTTCTGAGAATTTATGATGCACATTTGGTATAGGTTTATTATTTAACCTAGGGGTTCAAATAAAATAATAAAGGCATTTAAATAAATAGTTTGGGCTTCACCATTATGTTTTCTTACATGTAATTGGTATGCTTAAACTGCTGGTAGACTTTTGGTCGTAAAGATTTGAATACTTATATGAAGTAGAAGTATTGTTACTTTATAATGCGAATTGGAATAGTATCCGAACAGATTCTGGAGTTTGCTAAATTGCATGATAGAGATGATGTTTGCTGTAAAAATGGTTAATAACAAAGTTGTAGATAATTTGATAAGCTTTCCAGAAAGTCTAGGATCACTGCATTTGGATTAGTAGAACTCCTGTTATGAGTCAAACAAGTAGCTGTTGTTTTGTGATATAGTAGATGCATTGTGGAAGTAGTAATTAAATAATCGAGAAGAGATATGCACCTACTCAATAAACATGATGCACTTGATAACATATATGCATTCGTAATACTTATGCCATATTCATGCATCTAGGATCGGAGGAAGAAATAACGTTGCTGGAATTCGAAGAAGCAGAGGAAGGGGACCAGCAGGAGGATCCGCAAGCCGCAGCTCCCGAAGGCGTGGAGCAGAATCCTGAAGAGCTTCCGGAGTGTCCTGATCACCGCCCTACTTTCTTCCTGCGAGGCAAGCCCTGGAGCATTCTAAGTCTCCCAGTATTTTACAAATAATTACTTAAGTACTTATGATTGATGCATTAGGTTATAAGAGTTGAATGGAACCACTTGATGCATATACATTCCTTGTCCAGCTATTACACCTTTAACCGGTATAGGTCCAGGATCGAATATATGCTTAGCCATGCTTAGACCGGTAGAAGTCGGGTGATTTCCTGTCGCCTGCGAGATATAGGTGGATACCGGAGCACGGTTGGTTATAATTGCTATCGTAGAAAAGAACCATGGTTAATGTAAATGGAGACCGGGCGTGATGTCGATAGAGAAGTAACAAGACATGGAGGTCTTGGGTGTGGATCTATCCCTGTCTGTGTCGATCAAGGACCGTACCGTTGTTGAAACTTCTGACAAGATTGAACGCATGCCTCTCACTTAGCTGGCCGGATAACTCGTTCCGACCGCGAAACCGAGTAATTCAATTCAGGCCGGGACCCGTTCTGTTGTGCGCTCCTTCCGTGGAACGATCAGACTGAGCCCAAGGGCAGGCTGGGCCTGAGCATCCTGGCATCTGGTGTTCCAGATTGTGCGGCGTGGTACGGACCCGCGAAATGTGTACCTGAGTTGTACCAAAGGTGACCTAAGGCTATCGTGGCTGGTAGACCTGGGTTTGTGTTAGGAATAAATTCCCAGCTGGTTGAAATCGATTCGAATCGCCGTCTCTCCCGGATAGTGAGAAACTTGACTAGCCCCAACATCGTAGTAACTGTATTATGAAACATGATGGTTCAGATGAATATGGAATTACAATACCTGCTATGGTTACTATTGTATGCTTCTCAATTGATATACCACATGTTTGGCACAGGATAGTTGCTAATCTAGAAATGGATAGTTATAATTAACTTGATAAAGAAATTGTAACTGTACAGTAAGTCAATTGCTTTTATGCAAAATGTTGTCGAATTCCGTCCACTTATACAGCCTTGCATAATCCTTGAGAGTCATTTTATTTCTGGTTCATGACGGGTAAGTCTAACTGAGTACCTTCTCGTACTCAGGGTTTATTTTTCCCATGTTGCAGATGGCACTGTATATCATGGTTATTGCAAGAGTTGCTTCTATCCCGCTGTGGATGAGGAGTAAGCCTTGGGCAGGCTTCTTATTAATCCTTCTACATGCTTTTGTGGACCGTGATTATATCTTGGCACTGTACTAAACTATGTTGGAAACGTTACTTTCAAACTTAATTTGCTTCCGCTTTTATCTATCAAACTCGGTTTGTAATAACTTTTATTCGTACTCTGATGGAGAAATGTATCTGCGAACTTTATGTAATATGTGGCATGCATGTTGAATCATGTACGATCTTGGTTGTTGTAAATCGTTTATCGAGACCCATCGTGGTACTCGACGGACTACCGGGTTTATATGGGTTCAAGTATGACAGTGCGACCACATGCGGGCTGCCATTATACTTGTACTCTTATAAATTGGTCGGTTCTGCGACAGCGATGGTGGTGACGGAGCTGAGGGATCCGAAAGGAAGGCCAAATCACCGCGTGACTGTAAGGGGGAAGACAGACCGTCGGAGATTGCGGTGACTGCGGTGATTGCGGGGCGAGCGGCAGGGGATCGCGGTCGCAGGGGGCGAGCGGCAGGCAGACCGACGTAGCGCTTGCGGGATCGCACGGGGAGGGTAGGAAGTTGAGGCGAAGTTTTTATCACACCAAAATGGTGTCTCCTCTTTAGTCTTTTTAGTTGTGGGAGAGGGAGATTTTGAAGTATAACCGCGATTTCGTCTCCATTCAAACGCGGACCACGGTCACGTGAGGGTCGTATACGTACGCCGCCCCGTCCGACCCTTCGCATCCAACTTGCGATGGAATGGAGCTTGGAGTACACGTATTGGCGTGTCCAGTACTCCGGTACGTGTGTGCCCCCATTCCAGAGCAGACGTAATTGACTTACGCCTGGATTTCTCTGGGATATACTGCGGCCGTCGTTGGAAAAATGCCATATATTCTACCTTTGCACTCCCTCCTCGATCCGTCTCAAAATAAGACATAACAAAATTAGCAAAATTTAAATAAAAATTAGTCATGTTTATCATATTATTAGATAGATAAAGATTATTAGATTAATTATTTAATATAGAATATGTTTTCATACTTTACTTGTTTAGAGTCATGAATGAATATTGATACCGTTTAATAATATGATAAATATGACATAGAATTTAGTTAAGCGTAAGATGCTTTTTTGAATGTAAAAACAAGATGTTTTGATTCAGGATAAATCTGTAACTAATTACATTCTTTTGGGACATGTAGTTTACATTTTGATATAAGAGTAAGAAGCAAGCAAGAAATTAAGATCCGCTACTCTTTCCGGTCATAAAAACACAGATACACAGATGTGGATGTGGATGCCAATGCAGATTTTTTTTTCGGATGTCAAAAATGGTAAAAAGATGGAGCGGAATCAGCTAGGGGAAGATTTAAATAATCAAGTAATATGTGCATGCTATACGTAGAGAATTATATGCTTGTGAAGAATTAATTTAGTAAAGGGCCAATAAGAAGCTAAAGACAATAATCTTGCATTGCATTCCATGTTGTGGCTATCACATCGACACAATTAACACTTAACAGGTATCCTCACTTAGTTATTAGCCAATAATAATTGCCAGTAAATTCTCAATTCAAATTTTAGAACCTAAAACAACCACGTTATAAATAAGAGTTCTCAACTAAAAAGCATTCTTAAATCTTGAATTCCTCTTGGTTTTAGTCCAAGAGAGAAATTATCGGATATCCAATTTTAAACAACGCCACATCGGATAATCCATATTGAATTTGTGGATAATCCATATACATTAGATTATGTCGATTTTATATCTGACCCCGCATCCATACACAATCAAATTCAGATTATCTATATCCGCAAGAATATTAAAAAATCTTCTCCGTATCCTCGGATCGGCACAGCGAATTATTTACATCACTTTCACCTTAGTCTTCAAACGTGGTGAAATTGTCAGCTGACCAGGAGGTTCAAATAAATGAGACAATGCAATTAGATACTGGATTTATGGGAAGCTGTGAGAGTATATCACTCAGTGCACCTCCATCAACATTATGATGGAGATAGTTATTACTTATTAGCTCTAAGACAACTTCTCTAAGACATAGCTCATAATATAAATAGTCTTGCATGACAACCTACATTGCTCATAATATAAATACTCATGCATAAGACTAGCTCTTGATCAAAAGATAATTTTTCTCCCTCTTCTATTAAAATATAAAATAATATGCTTAGAGTTAGCTTATAAGTCACCGTTCGAGGTGCCCTCGTTCCCTTGAGCGCTCGCTAGCGAGTTCTTTTTGCATGTTCTCTCTTCCGCATCATACAAAACGTGAAGGAAGTTATCGATTTCGACAGTTGTTGGACAATCCCTAAGGTCTACTCCCTTCGTCCAAAAATAAGTGCTCATATCACACTCTAAGGAGTCAGCCAATCTTGAGTTTGACTAGATTTAAGCATTTATATTTTTAAATAGATTTGCTATGAAAATGTATGATTTGATTAATCTAATGATATTATTTGGTATTATAGCATTAGTATTTTTATATATGTTTAGTAAAACTTAAGATCGATAAACATCTCGAAGTGTGAGATAAGCATTTATTTTGAAATAAAGAGAGTACTAGTCTATTAACAAGATTGGCTCAATAATCACGACATGTTCATGTCAATCCTCTCCTTTTATTTGTGTCAGTGTGAAAAGAAACAATCAGGATCGTGGGAAGGACTATATACTTTGTTTATGTGTAATAGAAGGGTTCTTTTCTTGGAGTATGTACGTAGTATTTTGTTGTGGACAAACGGAGCTACCGACGAAGAGCTAATGATAGGCCTGATCGAGCTCTACTCATAGATTGACTTCTGGTACTGCGTTGCGTTTACAGTTAAGGAGTCACTCCTGATCAAGATCAAGGGAATTGAATGGATCAATCAATATATTGAAGAACAAAGTAATCATCTCTAGGATTATCTATCATCTGGTACTGCGTTGCGTCGTCATGGCCAGGCAGCCAGCCATTTCATTTCAGGCTGCTGAGCTGACGCCGCACCTCTGCATGGCGCCGTCGAGGACCTGGCGGAAGTGGCCGGCGTCGCAGGGCACCCGCAGCACGCCCGGTTGGCCGTACCCGTACCGCTGCGCCGCCATGTCCAGCAGCTCCGCGACGGAAGGGTCGCTGAGCAGCCGCACTGGCACCAGCATCCGCTCGCCTTCCTCTCCGTCGACCCCGCCGCCGCCGGCGACCATGGGCACGTGCCCTCTCGGGACCTTCTCCTCCTCGTAGGCGCCGCCGGACCCCGCGCGCCCGGGCGACCCGCTGCCGTTCTTCCTCTTCCACGCCAT